GTGCAGGATCTTCTGCATCTGTGCCTCCAAAACATTCTTTGGTTGCTCCTATGGATCTTTCCTTTGGAGGAGAAAAACCTTCTGGGAACAGGATTCTCTGCTTTTTACCTGTACCCCCCACAGGTAGTCGAGCATTCTTGTCTTTGATAGATTTCCAGTGTGCATCCATTCTGATATACAGTTGTTGTTTGGTTTCTTTTACATATTTTCCATCAGGGTATTTAGTACACTGGATGAGATATATACAGTATAACATTTCTGGAGGTGCAACTGTAAGATCCAGGAATGTTGATAGTTCTGTTGTGGGGGCAAAGAAGGGGACACGCCAGGTCGAGCTGCTGATCCCCTGTGCCACAGGTCAGATCCAGTCACTTTGGGCCATTAACTGAGCTCCACTGGTTTAGGTTCTGGCGTAATAGATAGGGTTCAAAACCTGCATAGGGAGCGGTGGGGTGTAGACATCGTCACTTAGTCAAGGAGTGTATCTATGATTCCAGCAGTGTAAAACCAATGTGATATCAAAAGAGCTCTGAGGAAATTCAGGCTTGAGGAAGGTTTAGCTGAATCTACGAACTAGTGAGTTGAACACTAATCAATTCTTATCTCACTGCTATGGGCAGTAGGAGGGAACTGAAGGAGGGGTACAGCCACTTCATTCTTTATGCCTTCTCATGGCAACAGGAAATGGCAGAGGGCATAAGTGTTGTCTTGACAAACACTGCTGTTTTTGGTTAACTCGGAGCACAAGCATCTATATTGGGATCCACACTGACATACAGTTGAAGAAGAATGTTCATTTTACACACGAGTACTGCTGTAGCCAACAAAGCATTGCAAGATCGCATAGCAGCCTGAGGACACATACTGAGAAGAAGCTTCCATTTTCCAAATACACATCATTATTAGAAATTGCAGGATCCATGGCTCAGCCAGATGGTGATGTAACTGGACTGCCAGGCATTTTGCTAAGAGCTGTCTGTCAGAATGCTAATGCTGTGACTGCTACATGTAGACTCGAATGCACTATATAGCATACCTTCAACACCACCTCAAGTGCTTGAACAGCTAAGTACAGCTGCCAGAAGAAAAGAAAAAAACCACTCCTGCATTACTTGCTTGAACACAACTTGGAACAACTTATTTGCTCAATTTAGCTTTGCATTCCTACTCCTGTCCCTAGTCCAAAAAAATCTTAGAAGCATAAATAGTTACAGAAGGGAACAACATATCGCTCTTCACAGGTTTCTCAGTATTTACACTATTCAGTGGTTTCTTCTCCAAAAGGAAAGTAATAAATCAGCCCAGTGGAGATTTTGGCAGCTAATGTCAGCTAATGACATATTTAACCAGGAGCAATTAGCTATTTCTTTTCCTATGGCAGATCTTGCAGGGTCGAAGAGCCACTTTCCTTCTTTTCCCTGAGGTCTTTTCTTTGCAACCCCCTAAAAGTTTTGAATGCAATGTATTTCCAACTGAATAGTGGGGATATAGGAGAGCATAAAAAGAACATGGCTAATTGGAGGTAATGAAAGCTGTACAGTAAAGCAACTGTTTCCTTTATTTTCTGAAAAGCATAATTACTCCAGAGTAAAACCACTTTTATTCCAGAACAAAGTATCTACATGGTGGAGTTATAGCTGAATGGCTGGGATACTATCCCATATAATCAAGCCCACAGTTTCTATTCGTGTATCCATTTACTATAGGGGTAAGAATTAATGCCAGCATTGTACTAGGCAAATATCAATTATGATGAACATAAAAGCTCTGAAAATCCAGCAGTTATCTCAAAGCTACATTTTTTATGACTATCCAGTACAGGATACATAATATTAGTGATTTAAATTCTTCTGGTGGCAGAACTGACAGTGAAACTTTAAATAATGGAATGGAAAAAAATAATGTTTAATTGGACAAGAGTTCCAATCCATTCTCAATGACATCCTCTGTTCGAATTTCAGAATCTTGGGCTTTAAACTTCTCCGTCTTGCCTTCCACTTCTCTGAAAACTGTGTTTAATTTCATACTGCGGTATTACTTAGTAGTGGAGACTCTACAACACTGATAACGTGTTTGGAATTTTTTAAATATTCTAAAGACGATGAGAAGCAGTAACCTGATTAGTCCCTTAGTTTGCTAGTTGGTCAGTTTCAGGAACAGAGTCCTTTATTATGAGGTAAGGCTACAGTAATTCCCCCAAAACTAAACATGGAAGAAGATGGACCTGCTTAGGATGCAGCAACAGGAAGAATTGTAAAGACTTGCAAAACTTTTAAAGATGGGAAAAAAAAAGTCATTAAATTGGCAGTAGAGAGGAGAAGAGGGATAAATTACTAAGAGAAATGGAGGTAGGAGAAAAAGGAGAGTTGTCAAAATAGAGAATGAAAAGCTAAATCTTCCTGCAACTACTCTTTTTCCTTTTGCCTCTTTTATTTTTGAAGTCATTCCCTTGTTTGCCTAGAACAGAGCAAGGGATTAGGGAGGTAGAAAGAACTTAAAATATTTTCATAGAACAAAGCAATACTTTAATTAATAGTAGCACAAAGCATGTCTACACAAGATGCTTTACTGTAAAGTAGCATAGTTTATTGCACAGTAAGCATGTGTGTCTACATGTGCACATGCTTACTGCACAGTAAACCTTGCTAATATCAAGTAATTTGCTACCTGCAGATGCAAATAGCAAATTTACTCACGAGTAGTTACTGCGTGGTAGTGCTCGTATAGATGTCTGCCCAGGAGCAAATCTGCTCCCGGTGAGCCAGGCACCAGGGGGTAGGATATAGCTTCCTGCCCCTGGGAGCTGCCTGCTGCGAGGGTGGGCTCTGCCACCAGAGCCCTGGCAAGGACTATATCTCCCTGCCCTTGAAGCAGGGAGCTCCAAGCCCCCTGCTCCAAGATCATGATGGTGAAGCGGGGGCTGGGAGATGAGGATCCTTATCTCCCAGCCCTCACTTCCCAATTGCAACCAGGGAGATAGGAGATCCTTATCTCTCAGAGCTAGCTCTGTGTTCGTGGGGCGGGAGATCTTTATCTCCCAGCCCCGACCCCATGACCATGGAGCAAGTGCTGGGAGACAAGGATCTCCCAGCACTGGTTTCCTGATTGTGGAGGTGGCCTTGGGAGCTCCCTGCTGGCAGGAGCTGCGGAGCCTGTTCCCTGCTCAGCTCCATGAGTGCAGAACTGGGTGGGGAACAGGCTGGGGAGCTGAGCAGGGAACAGACTCTCCAGCCCCCATGCTCACAGAGCTGAATGATTGCAGAGCGGGGGCTGGGAGGTCCCAGCCCCAGCTCCCTGATTGAGGCAGGGGACTTGAAAGGAGCTGCAGGTGGTGGGAGGTCCCAGCTCCCAAGCTCCCCAACCTGTTCCCCACTCAGCTACATGCTCGCAGAGCTGAGCAGGGAACAGGCTCTCTAGCCCTAGCCCTGCAATTGTAGAGTGGGAGCTGGGACCTGTCCCCATCAGGGACAGGTCCCAGCTCTGTGCCCTGATCAGGCGATTGAGGCATGGGGCTGGGAAAGAGCTGCATGGGTGGGGCAGATCCTGGTCCCCTAACCCATCTACCGGTGGGACAACTAGTAGTGAGCTCCTGGCTGGGCCACTGTACTGGCACATGAGGCAGAGGGGCTCACTGATACTTGCCCCACTGGTAGATGGGGCAGGCAGCTAGGAGCTGCCCCACCCCTGCAGCTCTTCTAAGCCCCATGCCTTGATCGCCCAATCAGGGCATGGGGCTGGGACCTGCCCCACTCCACAACTGCAGGGCAGGGGCTGGAGAGCCTGTTCCCGGCTCAGCTTTGCGAGCATGGAGCTGGGTGGGGAACAGGCTGGGGAACTTGGGGGCTGTGACCTGTCCCTCCCCTGCAGCTCCTTCTAAGTCCCTTGCCCCAGTCAGGGAGCTGGGGCTAGGAGCTCCCTGCTTCCCGGGCAGGGGGACATTGTCCCCACCCCGGCAGCAGGCAGCTGCCTTGAGGGCAGGGAGCAATGTCCCAGCCCTGGCCAAGAGACAGTTAGTTGTCTCCTGGCCCTGTACTCCCTGCCAGCCCCAGGCTAGTACCCAGGGGAAGCTTTGATCTCCCCCTGGTAGCAGCAGGGGCCCATTGCAGGGCTGAAGGAAGTGGCAGTAGTTTGCTGCTAGGAGCAGCAAGTCTGGTCCCACATCCCTGCATGTGTAGATGCTTGCCCGGAAGCATTTACTCATGAATAGTTTACTTGCAAGTAAACTGATCTTGGAACAAATGCATGTGTAGATGCACCCACAGTGTTCCTTTAGTAAACTCATCTTTGATACAGTTACTCTTGTTCTTCCCAGCATAAACAATTTAACAACCACATTTTCAAAGGAGGTACCTACTACTATAAACTGAATCCATGTACCAAGTCCCTTCTGATATCCCCCCAGAACACCAGTACCTTCTTAATGGAACTCTAAACAGTAGAGACAGCACTAGGTAATCTCAAGTACTTCCTCTACACTTATTAACACTTAAATGGGAGCTAAGATGAAAGATAAAGAAAAACCATTTATGATAAAGGAGGTATTTATTTTTTTGGTAATGAAGAGGGAGGCTCCTTGTTCAAAATGCTCCCAGAAAGCTAAATGACACAGAAATGTATTATGAGCGGAGATGAAAGAAGAATTTGGCCTCTCTCCCCAAACTGGACCAAAATTATAGACAGCTCATTAAAAATGTCACTAGTGTCTTATTTTCCTATGTGATTATCCACAGGGGTTATATTACTCAGCTCAGAAATGCTGGTGATCTACACTACTTCAGTGAAGAAATAAATTATGAATTAATCTCAAGCTTTGGATTCCAGTGCTGTGCCTGATTTTCTTGCTACTGTGCCCAGTATTGCCTATGGTTGCATGGTTGTATGACAAACATAAATACACATGCACACATAATGGAGAGGACACCTACCAATTACCATGCACTGAAAGAAATTATTGCTGCCACATTCTACACAGCAGAAATGGAAAATGCAGAAATCCATACCTAATCTGTTGGATGGGTTCCTTTTGAAGAGGGCTCGTAACAAACTCTGGGCTTCTATGCTCAAAAACTGAGGCATTCCCAGCTTGGCTCTGAAAGGACAGAACATTTCCTCCAAATTTTCATATTTACAGCTGCAGTTCATAGCTTAACTTAATTGGGGCATACGTGCAGCCACACACACACACACACACACACACAGATGTACGCACATACTCACATGCATTTGTCACCAAAGGTGCAAATACCTGAACAGATTACAAAAAGACAGCATAATCTTCCTCCTATTGAAGCTGAAGGAAGTTTTGCCACTGACTTCAATAAGAGCAGGATGAGACCTGAAGCACCTTATACTACCACACAGTTAAGGTTGCACATGGGTTCTAAGGGGTTATTTGCAGATGTTTCTACATTTTTTCAGTCTTTTCCCTTTATCTTTGGCAATCTTTTTCTTCTCTCCCCCACCCTCCATCCCCTGGTTGTTCCTCATTCAAGGGCAAGCACAAATAAATTCAGAAGTCCGAGTGCAAATTTTTTGGGGGAATGTTTTTGAGCCGTAATGGCTGTTTAAAAAAAGGAAGGGAGCAACGGTATATTTTGCTTTGATTAAAAATCTCATGCTTCTATGAATAGCTCTGGTACTTCAGTGGTACATGAAAGAAATCAGAAATTGACAGGGAGTATGTGCACAACCTTGCAAACTTTTATGCATGTGCTCAACATTGATTTAATGTGAAGGGAGGAAAGTGAAGGGCTTAAAAGTCAAGAAATGACCACACAGAGTTTTTACCACCTTAACTCTGCTCCCCCTTGTACATGTCTTATAAGCGAGTCTTTTATTACATTCAAATATTTTCCCTGAAAAGCCCCCTCAACAGGTTTATCATAAATCACCCATTCCATCTCCTATAATTTATTTCTGAATGTGATTTTCAAACCATCTAGTAGACTCAGAAGTGCAGTTTGTAGTAATGTGAACCCCTATACACAGTTTTCAAAATCTCATCCTCTGTGTGTATTTGTTCTTAGGTACATTCTGTATGCTTAGGTTCAATAGCTCATCCAATGAGTTCAGATAACACGTAGGTAGACTAAACGGATTTCATACTCACTTGAGAATGAGAGCCATTGTCTCCTTCCTGTCTTTCCCCTGGAATGGTAATGAACCAGTCAGCATCTCAAACTGTAGAATAATAAAAAAAGGTAATAAATTGATTTGCTTTATGTAGCATTTCTATATTTGACTTGTTTATTTTATTCACTTCAGTTTCACTTATAATGAAATGTTTAGACTACAGATGTCAAAAAATAGAGTTATACAAAGATAGTAGAAATTTACTTGCCATCATAACCTATACAGAATATCAGAGACCAATACTATATTTCTCTCAAAGGACTGCCTATGGAATTGCTCACGCCTAGAACTTGGGAATCATGCACTAGTAGAAATGTATAACAGCTTGGTTCTTAGGGATTATATGAATCTGCTTCCTCCCCCTTTCATTTACCTGGACTCATTCCCATCGTTTTTTTCTACTTTCAGATCTAAACAAACATAAAAACTCGAAGCAAAATCAGCTGCAATTACTAAGTTTTGCCAGACTAATTCATGAAAACATCAATCAGTCAGGGTTCCTTTGAAACTGAGCAATCCTTTCAACAAGCCTGACCTGAATTTCACGTTTATAATGAAAGACCAAACTGTGGAAGCTTCCTGGGTTTGAATTTCATTTTGCTTTTCATGCTCGTACCAACAGCATCATATCTGGGAAGATACGTAGTATTGGTTGATGTGTAGACAGAGAGAGACCAGGGACATAATTCAACCATGGCATAAATTAGAGCAACTTCCACTGAGGATAATGGGTATTGTGTCTGCTTACATCTGGATTAGGCCTGGGACCCTTCTTTGTAATAACATATAAACTGCTGAATAGTCAAGTTATTTAATTATAAGCATTTACAATAACACCTTTGTGTTGAGTTGTACCTTACCAGGTGAGTCATTCTACTAATTACAGGGATGCAATTTGTGTAGTAAGGTCCTATTTAATATTGAAATAGGTGAAAAAAATCTTACACAAATTTGACTTCTCCTTTTACACCTTAAATAAGTTCCCCTTAAGTCTTGCCATTAAGTCCTTATTGCTTGCAGAATGCTTTTTCATTTTTAGAAGTCTCAAAGCACCTTACAAAGTTGGGTCAACTTTAATATTACAACAGTTCAGCTGAGGAAACTGAGGCAAAGTGATTTCCCCAAGGCCAAAGAACAAATCACCAGCAGGGACAAGATATCCTGTCAGTCTGTCAACATGTTGATGCATTGACTCACGTTTCCTCCATTTTGTTTACTATCAGGTAATTAAAATTAACGTAAATTAGTCTAGGAATAATAAGCAAGTACCTGGTGGTTGTTTTTATTTATCTTGGAATAACCAGGACAGTGGTAAAATTTGTTCTGCTTTAATTAAAACAAATAATGTAAGACACTAATATAAACAGCTCATGTATACTTACACATATATCCATTTCACTATTTCAAAGAATATAAAAAGTAAAACTAATAAAACCCCCAACGAATAGCTGCCCTGTATTTATTTAGGGCTAGCAAATTTTTAAAAAAGAAAACAATCAAAAAATCCCTATCCCAAAGCTTAAAAAGGAGCTTAAACTTTTATAAAGGGGAAGGGGAAACCCACATTTTTTTTTCTCCTGGAAATTTAGGACAATAAACTCTACATCCCATTGACTTCCCTGGGATAACCCCAGCGAAAGGGAGGGCAGAATTTACATTTACGTTTAAAAGTGTCAGACAAATATTTTTTGATGATATCTAAAATAAGTTCCTCCATTAGGAGATGTGTGTACATGCATATTTGTATGCATGTATAAATACGTACCATATTTACCTAAATCCAAGATAACTTCAAATTTAAGATGATCCCTCAATAGTAAAACTGTTATAATTTTCCATGTTGACAATCTAATATTTGGAGGGGCAGTCTCCAATAAATCCTTAAATTTGTCCTTCTCACTGCTTCAGCAGAGAAAGCAGTGGTAGGGAAGGTCAACAGCTATAGGGGGCAGGCAGAACCAGCACCATGTCAGACCTAGAGCCAGATCTGGAGCTGCTGTAACCAGCACTACTGCTGCCTAGCTAGGCAGGGACTGCAGCCAGCCTGTGCTCCATGCCCCAGAGTCAGAGCTGCAACTAAGACTTAGCAGCAGTGGGAGGGGGGAGGGAAGAAGTGGCAAGGAGGCAGAGGTGATAGGGAGAGACAGAGGCTGCGGGAGGCAGCTGGCAGGTGGGACAGAAGCTGCAACTCCAATTCTATCTCAACCCTAGGTCGGGGCTGGAGCTGGAGCTGCCTGGCCTACCACCTGGTACTCAAATCAAAATCAAGGGACTTTTCATCCCATACAGAATAGGGGGAAAACCTTGTCTTGGATTTGAGGAAATACAGTATGTATGGGAGGCATGAGATGTCACGCAACAAATAAAAATGAAATGGAAATATTCAGACAAGGCAAAGTGTCAGAAAGATCAGGGCATTTCCTAAAATTGAAAATCTCTGCAAATGTCCCTTTTTTAGATTCACTTTCTGTGGTATTTTAACATATGCTTTTCAAAGGTGAAGCTGAGATGGTTATGAAGTATCTCCTGATTTGTATTAAAAAAAAAAAAGCATTACATAAATGTTAACTAGTTTTGTCTTCTTTCATCAGCGCTTCATTTAAATTTTTTAACAGAGATTGGCACTATTTACTCATTGCTGCTTGAAGTGAAATCATTGCATTCCTTGTAGATCTTAAGTCATTCCATATTTAAGAGAGATCATTCATCATCATCATCATCATCGTCAAGCACACTGTAACTTTATGCACGCTAAACCTTCACTTCTGTTGTGGTGACCCTAGCACTGAGTTATCTAACGTAGGTGGGGAAAAAACCTAATTTTATTTGAAGATTCACAGTACCATTTGCTGGCAGTGTCTGCACAGCAATAATCCATAAATTCAAAGTCTACAAAAGCAGGCTGCCAAGCTCTAGGGGGTTAGTTTCACTCAGAACATCCCCCAGATTGTTTCATTCTGTTCTGAAGGAGTTTCTCTACCTGAGCTACCCAAGCTACTGCATTTCCTGTTTTAGGTAAGGTGCAGTTCTGTGATGCTCATGAATCTGTCTTTCCTAAAATTAAGAACCTTCATGCTTATGTCATGCCTGAATGAAGGCAGACCTAGACACTTTCAGAATCATAAATATCATGGAACCATTTGACCTGATAAGAGCTCTTAAAATGGTGTCACCAGCAGTCAGTCAGCAGGA